GACCTCCACTGACAGTGACAGTTAATACATTCACAACCAGACTTCAGTTACCTTAAAATCCATAAACTGATGAAACAAAACAGTTCTTAGGCACCTACTATACACTTACTATGCAGCAGGTGCATATTGAGTATAAAGTAATGGAAGAAAAAACAAGATCATCACTGTGTTCTGAGCTTGAAAATTTTGCTTTGGCAATTTATTATTTTCATTGTTTCCTTTTTTCTTAGCTTCCTGGAAGAACTTACTTGAGGTGGACTTGGGGATAGGGAGTTAGCCTTATTTTGCTCAGGCAGCTGAGAAGAGGGAACCCAGGGGAAGGGGAACATCTAGAGAGACCTGATGCAGGTGCCAGCACATGGATTTCCTCCTGAAAAATTTATTCCTACATTCACTTGTCGTTCCTCCATTTATCACACATTTATCTTTTATTATTTGTATGGCAAACATATTCCTTGATAATATTTCCAAAAAAGAGTTAGGCTTCTTTAGATTACAATGCAGTGTGCAGATATTATTTAATGGTGATCATAACTGTAAAAAAATGTAGGGGAAGTAGCCCAGAGGCAGAAAAAAATCCTACATTCACAGCAAAGTTTCATCTACAAAGCTCCCCACACCAATATGGTTTACTTAAAAGTACCAAATGGAGTTTCCGTGTTCATCTTAAAGTAGTGGGTTAAGAAATTGTCCTAACGAATAAACACCTGTCAGTGCAGGTGAGCATTCTGCAGCAGGCACCGGAATGTCAGTTTGGAACAGAGCGAAAAAGGAACTTTCTTTTTGAACACTGACTGATGCTTATGAAAGTTTATATTTCACCACTAGGTGGCATAGAGAGCTAAACAGTTAACCCAGGCTGTGAGGCTGTGGAATATTGAGGCTTTCTTAGGAAAAACAAAAAGATTGATTTTTGAATTTTGTGTACATTTTGTGTACATAGCAACAGACTCACTATCTTTGCTGAAGCAACTATGACAGGCTCACTTCAGCTGAATGAACACCCTCTCACCTTTGCCCCAAGACTTTTCCTGCAATGTGGTTGGGACACATGAGAGAAGCTACTTAGCATTTGTCAATGCTCAGAACTGCAAGTGTTGGAGTGTAACACCCCATGGACAATCCTTGACAATTAACGGATGGGAGGTCATGAATATGTACTCTTCTCATTTCTCAGGTAGATATTTCAGAAACAAATCAGTATTAAAAAGGGGTCCAGCTGAGAATCCCAATGATCTCCTGCAGGGGACACCTGCATTGAATTGCAATGCCATCTCTTGACCTCACTGTCCTTGTAGGTACAATGACTGGAAAGAGCTGACTGTTAGCTAGCATTCCTACGGCTTTGACCTTCTTTGTGAGTTGATGTGCTCCCATCTCTTCCCATCATGTGTTCCCTCTCCCCACTCTGCTTCTCTCTCCTTTTTCCTCACTCTCCCAGGTTTTCACTGTCAGTCTTCACTTAGCCTTGATCTCAACTCCCGAGGCCTCACCTCTGTTCTCTTACTCCCTCCTGTCCATTCAGGCTAACCCGGATCCTATTTCCTGGATTCTTTCAAAACGAGAACATTCATCTATCTCATGGCCCTTGGAATCCTCTGTGTAAATAGAAATGACACAGTTATGGAGTTATTCTGTCAGGAGGGCCCACTACATAGCTTAAAAAGACATACCAGTAGAAACCACCAAGAAATGTGAGAGTCTACTTTAATCTCTTTTAAATGTAGAGCTGCATTTACTGTGAAATAAGGGGATTCCTCTTGGGGAATAAAAGCAAACAAGAAATGAAAAACTAGGGAAAAATAGGACGTGACACCAGTGTATGCAAGATATTGTCATGCCCGGCATCCCCAGGGGTTGGGTTACTGCCATCTCCTGGATCTGAAGATAAGGTCTTAGGTCTGGGCAAATAAGGTCAGAGTTGGAATGGAGGCTTTTTCCACACCCTCACATTTCTGTGACAGAGTCAATGAGAAAAATATCCACTCAATTATATAGGGAAGGAAGCGTGTCCATCATCTACTCAGTAAATGTTGGTTGGTTTTGCTTTTGCTTTTACTTTCTCATTCTGAGAATTACAAATCACTACTCTGGGTTTTGAGTTTACAAAAATCTACTTGAATGATCCTGGAATAAAATAATAAGAAGTGATTGCAAATTTTTAATTTCTCTGTGACACCTGGTAAAACTTTAAAGTTGATCAAAAGAACCCCCTTAAACAAGTTGGTGAGTATACCAACTCAAAAGCCTTTCTTTGCATAAGGCCAAAATTCAAATCTAGAGGACAGAGCCCAAAATAATCTACAATAAATGGAAATTGCCAAACAAAACAGTTTAG